CAGCACCCCTTCAGTGACAGTGACACCCCGTCTGCAGCAGTGTATGGCCAGACAAAATGCATAGGTAGGACTGTGATGGGAACCACATATGTAGGGTGGCAGCAGTGCTTATCTCTGCTGCTTGCATGGCAGTGCTTGACCTGGAACAAGACCTCAACCAGAAGTAAGCAAAGTTCCCTTGGAGCCCCCTGTGTGCTGCCACAGTCTGTCTGGGCACAATTCAGGAGCCACTTGTCAAAAGAAACTAACTTTATCTTTAGAACTACAAACGCCAAACAAAACAACTCCTCAGGAAAAAACCCTCAGAGCCCAACTGCCACCACCTGCTTCCACAAGCCTCTCACCCACACTCCAGCCTCTCCACCTCCCATAATCCTTCTCTTGAGGCCGATTGGCTGGGTTGTGTGGGCGGAGCCAAAGAAGTCCCCCAATGAGCAGCTCCGTGGTCTGAAAGGGCAGGGAAACAGCCCAATGAGCAGCTCCGTGGAGGAGCCAATCAGCTAGATGTTGCTGGGGCCGCTGTGAGCCAATCATCAGCTGGCAGCTGGAAGTTTGCTGGTAGCTGGAAGTTTGCTGGGGCCCCTTTGGCTGTGGCTCTCAACAGTGTGCACCTGTGCAGAAGGTACAGTTGTTCAGGGGCCTCTCCTCGCCCTTGGGCAGTAACGGGAGTCAGTGTTTCCTTCCTTCCTTTTTAGTAATAGGCTCCTGAGCTGGGAGCTGAAAGGCAGGAGGAACCTATGGATCTTTACCCTCAGTCCTGGCACTGGGATGAGTTTACATAAGGCTGGCCACACCCTTTGTCTCGAAGGGCAAGTTCCCTGGTCTCATGATTCTTAATTTTTTTTTTTTAGTTGTCAATGGATCTTTTATTTATTCATATGTGGTGCTGAGGATCAACACAGGGCCTTACACATGCCAGGCAAGCGCTGTACCACTGAGCGGCAACCCCAGTCCTGGTCTTCTGATTCTTAAGGGCCGTGTCCTCTGTTTTCCTCCTACAACAACCTGTCTCCGATCCTGCAGAGCACCCAGTGGCCTTGGGTCGCTGTCACTCTGCTGGACCAAATTGGATTCAAGAGGCAGCTTCCTCCTGGCTCCTAGGGCAGTTTAAATTTAGATACTATTTCCCTTTTTAATACCGTTCCTGACTCCAGCACCCTGGGTGGTTTGCTAGATGTGAAGTTCTTTTCCAAAGCCACAATACTGTGCAGATTGCAGGTTACTTATCCAAGTGGGCTGCAAGTCTGTGAAGATTGTGAAACTTTCCAATACGTAGGATTGCTGTCATCAGTTTTTTGCCCTTATCTACCTCCCCTCTCCCCAACTGCGGAGCCAAGGTGAAACTTGCTATGGTATTTTTTCTTTCTTTGCTGCTGTTCCTGTCTTTCTCTTGCGGATTCCCAGTATTCTCCCATGGTCACTCATCTCAAAATGCAGCTATACATCTGTTAATTTGGCTTTTCTTTGTGGAGGAGGCGAGTGCTGAACCCCTCTACTTAGTCATCTTGTTCTCTGCTCTTTGTGAGTTGTGTGCTATAAAAGATGTTGAATTCATATTATAGTCAGGAGCCAGAAAAAAACTTAAATATATTCAAATATATTTATTTTCCTGTGATACTATATAGAACTATAAAATTTGACGGCTAAGGATCTGAATTATACTTCTGTTATCCTAAATACCATGATTATAATATAGTAAAAAATTACCAATTAAAAATAGATGTGATGTAGGAGACCACTGATTCAAGCACAGCCTCCAGAAGTAGGTTGTTTGGGATGCTAGGAATTAAGCCCAGGGTCTCACACATGCTAGAGCTACACCCCCAGCCCAGCAGTAGGTGTTTTTAATAAAATTTTAAGCCCCTCCCCAACTTTTTTTTTTGTGGGGGGAGTATACCAAGGATTGAACTCGGGGCACTTGACTACGGAGCCACATCCCCAGTGAGGCTGGCTTTGAACTCCTGTCTCAGCCTCCTGAGCTGCTGGAATTACAGGTGTGTACAGCACCCAGCCGTAACTTGGTCTCTTTATCTTAAAAGACAGAATGATTTGGAGGCACATATTATTAATTGCTATATGCAGGAGGAGAGCAGTAACTTGAGTATTCTTTAGATCTAGTGCTAATTATAGGTATAAACTTTTTTGGCTGGCATGATTTCTTTGGAGAAAGTATTTCCTCTAATCAGTGATCACCAGTGGACAATTGCAAGCTAGATGAGGAATGAGGTTAATAAAATTCAGTTCTCATTTATATTATAATTCAATTTATTTTGTGGGGCTTTTCAACTCTAACCCCACTTGAGCAAAAATTTCACACACACAAATGAACATTATGTACAGCAGTCCCCCCTTACCCACGGTTCCCTTAGTTTGTTATTCAAGATCAACCAATCTAAAGACACAGTACAGCAAAATAAGATACTTTAAGACACCACATTCACATAACTTTTATTATGGTATAATTGTCCTATTTTGTTATTTACCTAATTTATAAACTTTTATCATAATACTGAATCCTATATATACATACCTATCTGAGGTTTCAACCACTTGGGGTCTTGGAACATATCCCCCTTGGATAAGAGGAGGGGAATATTGTACACCCACTTCTATTCTGTGTGTCACACCTTCAGGATAGGTGATGACTTATTTAAAGGATTTTTTTTGTTATTGTTGTTTACTTATTTTTTGGTACCAAGGATTGGACCCAGGGGCACTTCACCACTGAGTAGATTCCAAGCCCTTATTTATTTTGAGACAGGGTCTTGCTAAATTGTCCAGGCAGACCTTGAACTTATGATCTTCCTGCTGCAGCCTCCTGAGTTATTACAGGTGTGCGCTACCATATCCAGCAGGCTATGTTCCTTGTCTGTAGTTGTGGGTTGACAACTCTCCCAGGAGAGCAGTTATTTTGTTAATCTGAATGCTTGAAGCTTTCCAGTAAGGGAGGAATTACTGAATGAATTATTTTCTTCATCTTGAAGAATTTCAAATGTTTACTAGGAATCCTGTTACTTTCTATATCCCTGAAATACCATTCATGTACAAACAAATGCTTTGTCTTCTAGCCAGACACAGGCTTAAGTAGTTTTTCAAACATGGCAATATTTTATTGGTGAAATTGAGAGACAGAATGGCTTGACTCATAACTTCTGCCATTAAAACACATATCAACTGCCCAAAACAAATTTCTTGCAGGGTACACCACAGGAGACAGATGTAGTATCAAGACAACAAAAAAATTGCATTTAGAATATACTTTAATAGCATTTACATTGATATTTTTACATAATCTGTAATTATGAGCGATATTTTACTTCCCCATCTTGTCTGATAATATATTTTATATACTAACAATCCAATCATATATTCTATATACTAGAAGTTGCTAGTTTTCATTCCTCTGTCACCAGGGAAAGTGTTTTTATTTATGGGAAATGGATTTAAATGCTTTGAAATTTCTTTTTAATGTAGGCTTGATTTTTTTCTTACAATAACAATTTTGCTTGTTTTCTAAAAACTTCATTTTTTTCCTTTAAGTAATAAGATGCCTAATAATCAGTTTTCCCAGGAAAAATAAATGCTCTGATGTATATTAGGGTACTTTTTTTTTTACATCATGATATATCATCTTATGAAAGCTATTCATATCTTTTTTCTTTAAAAGCATTTACTGAGCCAGGAGCACTGGTACACACCTATAATCTGGTGACTAGGGAGGCTGAGGCAGGAAAATAGCGTGGTCAAGGCCAGCCTCAGCAACTTAGTAAGACTGTCTCAAAATAATAAGGGCTGAGAATGTAGCTCAGTTGTAAAATGCCCCTAGGTTCTATCCCCAGCTCAATTTAAACAAAAAAAAAAAAAAAGTATTTTACTGGATGGATTTTTTTTTAAGCATTTAAAAAAAATGTTTATTTTTTAGTTGTAGTCAGAGAACCTTTGTTTTACTTATTCAGTTTTATGTGGTGCTGAGGACTGAACCAAGGGCCTCACACACGCTAGGCAAGTGCTCTACCACTGAGCGACAACCCCAGCCCAACTGGCTGGATATTTAATCTTATTTTGTTAAACATGTATTTTGGTCTAGTTTAGTCTAATTCAAAAGGATCCTAACAGAATGATGTGAAGTTCAGATTGTCTACCCCAGAGCTCTATAAGCTGTTTAGCCATTCAAGCTAGAGGCATTCATTTAAACTTTTTTATTCTATACTTCAACTATGTAGTCATAAGTCATTTATCATGAAGGCATTTAAATGGACAACAAATAATTCTGCTTGTCAACTGAAGAGGACTCTGAGTTTAACTTTTTCTCTGGCCTTAAAGGTCAAAGGCAGTTAAACTTAAGCACTGCCAACCAGATTACAAGCTGCATGCTCCCTTTCCATTCCACAGAGCTGCTCCTAGAGCTGTGTGTCATGGCAGGCACATTGCTGCTCATATTAACAAGCACATGACAACTGGGAGGAAGGAAAAGACCAAACCAACATGCTGCTCACCTTTAAAAGTAAAAACAGGAATGGTTTTCACTTCAGCATCTTAGAAACAGACAAACGTAAAGCTAGTAGGCAGATAAGACAATAGTATTATTTCTACAGAAAATTGGGAGTTATAGGTTACTATGTGTGTGTAGATTTCCCCAATTGTTGTCAAAGTGACTGACTACTCTAAAAAGCTTTCCTGGCATTCAGGGGTACCATGTTAGGAAAATAACCAAGCTGACTTCCATTCAACCTCATTTCTCATTTTTTTTTAAAATATGACTGATGTGTGTTCATTTTCTGAAGTATGTTTAGCAAATCCTACCAGCTTGAGGCAGGTGGTCTTACTGTACAGAAATGTTAAATGGCATATACAATCTTCTCCTGGCCTCTTCCCCATAAGCACGTCATAGTAACACTTCTGTCTATGTATACACACAAATCCACTAAAAATATTTATATGAATAAGAACCATGAAGATTTCCTAAATGTTTAGAGAAAATGCATGCAGAGTGAGCCCAGTAAAGTACAGAGCCTGTGGGATATACAAATTTTATTTTTAGTTTACATTTCCTTCAGGATAGTAACATACATGTCTTTTCCTACCTAGAGGCAATATATTTTCAAAAATTTAGATACTGCCACTGCATTAAATTTAAATTAAAATGCTCCCTATGTAATGTACAGACAGTAAAAGCAAAAAAAAAAAAACCCTTACAACACATTCCATTTTTTAATATATCAAAAAATGTTTCCAAGGCAACATTAAAATGATTATACCACAGTCCCTAAAATAATGTCAAGCTCTAAGAGGAAGGTGCAGGGGGCTGGGCGGGAAGGCTCCATCCGTTCAAGGGTTTAGGTACTCTTCTTCTCTTCACCCAGTAAATTCACTGTAGCTTTCTTGGCTGTTAAGAAAGAGGGTAAGAAAATTTTATCAAAACTTTTGGCAATATAAGCTGTGTGGCTAAGGTAACTACTAGATAACGGAGCTCGGGTGACTCATGTGCAGATGACAGCACCCATGGGTTTGTGGTCAGGGCTGTGAGGGTTTCCGTGAAATACACCCGGCACCTCTTCTGAGCACAAATCCTGAAGACATGAAATACTTGAAGTTCATCTAGCCTTGCTTCTTTGTGTAACAGTGTCTCCCAAACTATCTGTCCTCCTTTCTGCATCAAAAGAGGCAGAGATTCCTAGTAGCGTTCTTTGTACATTCAAATTCTCATTTGCTACTCTCCTATGAGATTTCACTACTCATCAACCTGATGAGAACTAAGTTGTGTTGTTCCATGGTGACAAAAACTAGAAAGTCCTCGTGCCAGTACTACAAATATTTATACTAACTGGGCTATCCCTCCTATGACAGGAAGTGGCCTGGAATGTGTCATAAGAACCAGTGTGGTGTGTGAGATGGTGGTGGGGGAGGCTTGTCTAGAAGCCTCCAGTGAGGTTGTAAACTGCAGCTGTTTTTTTTTTTAATATTAAGTTTTTAGATGGATACAATATCTTTATTTTACATTTATGTGGTGCTAAGAATCGAACCCAGTGCCTCCTGCATGCTAGGTGTGCACTCTACCACTGAACCACAACCCCAGCCCCTGCAGCTGTTCTTGATGGAGCCCGGAGTCCCTCTTCATCAACTGCCTGGCAGCAGCTCTCATTTACTCAAGTTGCTAAACAAAGTTAAAGAAACTGCAGCCTCTTTCTCAATAGCCCTATGTAAAAAGCACTAGTGAACCCAGAACGAGACATCTAAAAGGTGTCAAACAATTAGAAATTTTTATGTCCCTGATTTGGAATGTATCAAATTAAATTGAATTTGAGTATTGATATACTGTATGAAAACCAAGAGGCAATAAAATGTGGGTGAACTAGACAGAAATGATATTACCATGGGTTGCCAGTTAGGCTTGGGCAAGGAAGATCAGAAAAGAAAGCTCTTAAAAAAAAAACTGGCACCAATTGCCATAAAGCATGCCTGTAATCCCTTCTACTTAGGTGGCTGAAGCAGGAGGATCATGAGTTTGAGGCTAGCCTTAGCACCTTAACAGACTGTCTCAAAATTTTAAAAAATAGAAGTAAAAAGGGCTGAGGGTCAGCTGGGGCTGCAGCTCAGTGGTAGAGCACTTGTCTAGTATGTGTTCAATCCTCAGTACTGCATTTTAAAAAAAGGGGGGGGGCATTCTGTCCATTTACAACTAACAAATTTTTAAAAGAGGCCGAGGGTATATAGCTCAGTGGTAGAGCTCCCCAGGGTTCAATCCACAAGTGAGAGAACACAAAGGCTGCAAGTCAGAACAAACTTACCTCACTCCCTCACTCAGAGGCGTCCTCCTGTTATTTCCCTCTTCACCAGCTTAACTGTCACCAACATCAGCCACAGTCCCACTCTGACCTCGCAACTCTTAACATCACCCCTTTCAGGGCTGGAGTTATAGCTTAGTGATAAGAGCATGTGGAAGACACTGGGTTCAATCCTTAGCACCCACGTAAAAATAAGGTATTGTGTACATCTATAAAAAATTTTTAAAACCCTACTCTGCAGATGAGTGTGGCTGTAGAAAAGCAAACACAAGTCTCAGGTGAGCCTTTCACACTGCCTGGAATCACATGACAGTGTCTCAGTCCATTTACTCTGGCAGTGTCCTAGAGAGGCCATGAGACTACAGCCACACTCCTTTAATTGCTTTTTTGGGCTGCTGTCACAGCATAATGGCAGAATTGAGCATCACAACAGAGACCGGATGGCCCACAAAACCTGAAATGTGTATCATCTGGCCCTTTAGGAACAGTCTGTTAACCCTGTCCTAGACAACTGCTCACACCCGTCCCCTTCCCATCACTTCTCAGTTGGCCTTCTTTCTTTACTGAGGAAGTTGAAGTAATCAGAAAATATCTTCTAAGTTTTCCTACTTAAAACCTCTACCAACAAAAACCTTGATTTCTGTTATAAAATGTTGCAGCTCCTCTGCCCACTGCCTCTCTGTATTTTCAATCATATTTCTGGTCTACTCAAGGGCTCAGCAATTGCTCTCTACTGAAGCATTCTCATTAATTTTCAGACATGTATTATTTCTCCTACCTTAAAGACTTTTAAATTTCCCAGGACCTGCGATCCATATTCCAGTTACAGCCCATTCTTCTACTCCCCTTCACAGGGACTGTCTCAAAACAGCTGTCCATATTCCTCATGCCTTTCCCCCATCTCTTCCAATCAGTGTTTCGTTCCCAGCATTCTACAAAAATCTGTTCAAGATCACTAGTGCCTTCCCCATGGCTAAGTCCAGTGGTTCCTCTTCACCTAGTTTACCTTGTCTACAGCACGTGACAATGGATCACACTTCCTCCTCTGAAACATCTTTTTGCTTGGCCCAAGGACCCCACCTTGCCTTCCTTTTCCCTACTGGTCTATTTAGCTGATTGTTTCTCATCTCCCTTCTACCCACAATCCACACTTGTTTTCTGAACTCTCAACATCTGCATCCAACTGGCTGAGAAAGACTTTTCTTCTTTCTCCCTACCTAAATCTGTACTATCCAGTCTTTCCCAGCTCAGTAGCAATTCTCTCCTTCTACCTGATCAGGTTGAAAAGTTTGGCCTTGACTTCTGTCTTCATGCCTGATTTTAAGCAGATCCTATTGACTCTACTTCAGAAATAGGTTACTTCTTACCCACTACTGCTGCTAGTACAAACCAAGATACTACCATCATCTCAAACAGATCACTGCAATAACCTTTTAGCTAGTCTCCCAGTTTCCTTCCCTTTCTCCCTCCAATTCATTTTTTGTTTTTAGTTATAGGTGGACACAATACCTTCATTTTGTCCTTTTTATTTTTATGTGGAACAGGGGATTGAACCTAGTGCTTCACGCATGCTAGGCAAGCGCTCTACCACTGAGACACAACCCTGGCCCCCATCTAATCCATTCTTAATGCAATAGCCACAGTCATCTTAATACACAGACCAGGTCATGTTGATCCTGTGCTCAAAATCTTTTAATAGCACCTTATCTTTCTTACACAGACTAAAAACCAAAGCCTTCCCACTGGCCTATAAAGCTATTCTGTGATTTGTCATCCTGTCTCCATGCAGACCTTTCTGATGGTGTCCCCTCCTGCTATCCCTTACCCCTCTAGGTCACCTCCTTTACTGTTCCTACTTTAGGGCTTTTGCACATGCAGCTCCTTCTGGAGCACTATTCCCATGGTTCCCTCCTTTACTATGTCCAAGTCTGACTCAATATAGCCCTCTTGGTAAGGGTCTCCTGATTTTCCTACTTAAAACTGTAAACATCCCTCCTGTGCCTGGTTCTCCCTATCTTTCTAGCTGCTTAATTTTCTTCCGCATTATCATACAACCTTTTAATTTTATTGTCTCTTTCAACTAAACTGTAAGATTCAAGGATTATAGTCTCTTGGGTTCACTGGTTCATTACTAGTCTAGGGACACATGCAACATCTCAACAAAAAAGCATCTGAATAACTTCATCAGGGGGGCTGAGAAAAGGCATTCTCTGGGACCAAGAACAAAAACAGTCTGAACAGCCCATTAAACAAGTCAGGAACTGAGTGCAAGAGGCTACATGTAGATGAATCTCTAAAATCTCTGCCCATGGAAGGCTACTGAATGCTGCATTGAATGAGTCACAAAGGATCTTGGGAAAAGTAAAGGGCAAGCCAGGCACAGTGGTGTGTCTATAATCCCAGCAACTCATGAGGCTGAGGCAGAAAGATTGCAAATTGGAGGCCAGTCTCAACAACTTTGGGAAAATCTGTTTCAAAAAGGGTTTGGAATGTGGCTCTGGCTAAGCATCCCTGGTCCCCCCCCCCCCACCAAAAAAAAAAAGTAAAGGGCAGTGGGCAAACTTGTCCTAAAGAAATCCATTTAGTGGTCTTTGCATTTAACTAAGGAAAGCTGAGAGGACAAGAAGGCCATGAAGCCCATTGTATCACATCTCCTCCATGTGTTGAACCAAGTTGTCCCCGACTCTTACCTTCTTTAGTAATGGCATCTGCAGTCTCTTTGGCTTTGTCCTTCAGGTCCTTCACCATACTGTCCACCTGAGACTGGTGCTTCAGGAAGAAAGGACGAATGATGCGCTTGTAGAGAAATTCAGCCCCATTAGAAGGACTCGGGGCCATGCACCACAACAGGAAGCCACACTGCACAGAATGAGAAGCAGCATGGTAAGAGGAGGACGAGGGCATTCTGAGGAGACCCCCCCCCACCTCCACCACTCCCAAGGTGTGTACTGCCTCCGTCCGACATTTTCTCCAATGGTATTCCCAGTGTTTTCTGCAAACTAATGGGAAGATCTTCTTGGAAAAACATGACCACTAATGGGGTAGTAAGGAAAGAGAAGGATAAGACTGAAAAAGGGTAAAACACACCAGATCCAGGAGTTTAGTTTACAGCAGCTATAAGAGACTTTATTATACAACTCTTAAACATTACATTTTCTTACACTGATTTTTATCTACATGTGTCAAGCCCCGTACAGATAAGCCTAGTGAGAACAAGCTTCATGGATATTAAGCTTATCCTGCTAAGTTAGTTACAGTAATTTGTTCTACCACAGAATAAATATTCTGCCTAACCTCAGATTCTTCTCTTAGTTTCAGTTGTTGATAGACCTTTATTTTATGTATTTATATGCAGTCAAATGCAAGGCCTCATCTCGAACATGCTAGGCAAGCACTCCACCACTGAGCCCCAACCCCTATTCCTTTAGACTGAGATAAAAGAAGATAAGACTTATACCCTAATTAATAAATAAATACCAACTGTGCACTTTAAGTCATCTAAGCGGAAATATTCAGAGATTTGCTAATTTCCCTAGAAAGTTTAATAAACACCATACTGAGTTATTTTTGTTTAAAAGATACTGACCAAATTATATTCCACACAGTCCAGATGACTCATCATAATACAGAAATCACTTCCAGGGATAGCAGAATCTGTATTTTTATCAGTTTCTTAAAGTAAATCTCTCTCAACTTCTTATGTCTTAAATCAAAACTCTATGGGATTAGTCATCATTATTCCAAACCAATGAATGCATTCAAATGATTGAGAAGTTACAATGCCTTTCTAAAATAGTGTTTTAAGTTTGCTCTAGAGATGCAGAACTGGCAGCTCATACTGAGGTCTTGCTATGTTGCCCAGGCTGGCCTCAAGTGATGCTCCTGACTCAGTTTCCCGAGAAGCTAGGACTATAGGCACACACCACTTCATCCAGCTACAAACAGGGATCCTAAGGGTTGTGTAGTATATAGTGGATAAGAGGACAGGCTCAGACAAAGTAAGTTCTAATCCTGGTTGTACCACTTACTCACCTGGCAAACCCTGAGCAAGTTATTTAACTGCTTAACTCAGTTTTTTCCTGTATGAAGCAAGTATTGAGATTTTTAAAAAATCTACCTCTTATAAGAAAATAAAAAGCATTTGGGGTGTGTGTTAGCATATTAAGAGCTTTGTCTCTGTTGCAAGAATACCTGTGTTTTAATTTGTTAGCCTTAAATGGAATAAAAGCAAATCTTAGAACCAATAATCTTTAAACAAATGTTCTGTAAGTACCTGAAATGAAGTTCAAAGTAATGCTAGAGGTATACACATAATTAAAATAAAAGATATCTAATAAAACTATTTCAAAAATGTAAATATACAAGCAAAATTATGACAATACCATAAGTAGAGCTTCCTCCATATATTCCCAAAAGGTTGAAATTTCTGGACTAAAGAAACTACACTGCCTACCTTATCAGAGCACTCAACAAAAGCAATTTACTACCATTCTCTCCAAGTCAGGATTTTAAGTCAGTTCTCCCTTCCTCTTCCCCATCAGATTCCAAAGCTCATTTATTGAGCACAGATAATAGAAACTAGAATGTTCTCAGTTAAGAAAGCAAAGGAAGGTGTGGCCATAGGTGAGCTAAGGGTAAAGATTCTCTACCTGTGCATAATAATACTATATATGTGACCAGGCAAGCCCACAAAAACGCCAATCCAGACAGGTTCAAGGTAGTGGATTAGAGGAAAGCTGCATCTTCTAGTTGTTCCATCACTCAAGCAGCAGGAGTACTGCTTCTCAGTGAGACACCACCCAACAAAGACCCTATGATGAGAGCTAAACCCCAGCTGCTAGAATTTTCCCGTTAGAACCATGTATCAGCCCCACCCGGGAATGTACTGATGTCGTCTGTACAGCCGAAACTCCAATCCACAGTGCTTCCCATTCCATCTACTTTATATTGATGAGAAGGAAAGCTGAGAACTATTTCAACCAGCTTCAGTTCCAGGCCACTCTGTGTTGGGACTTTACTGTGACACTAAGTATATAGCTACACAGCATCCAGCCAAGAGACAGTGTGCCTTGCTCTACATCCAAACTAATGATGCTCAAACAATTCTTTAGTACAAATGATAGATTAAAAACCCCAAAACAACCAGGCACCAAGGTCCCAGTCATGTCTCTATTTTTGCAGAAGGAGTCAGTATCCGTAACACACCAATGAGGAGTCTCTTTTGGGACTGTTGCCATACCCCTTCAGAATATTGAGTTTTTAAGTCTACAAGAGCAATCACAGAGGGAGTACCACACATCCTCTGCTATATACAAAACTAACTGATCTACGAGAATGACCCCACTCTTGTAAGACCTATAGGAAAAGTGAGATCCTCAAGCTCTGACACAATATATGCAGTATTGAAATACGCCACTCTTCACCAAAGAACTAGCAGGGAAACAATACTGAAAAAAGTCACAATAACCTGATATCCCAGAACAATTTGCCAAGAGAAGACTGTGCCCTAAAATGGTCCACACGTAAGAGTGGAAGAGAAATCCAGGAATACAGAAAATACGGAGGAAACAAGGTCATAACATCTCCTGAAGCTCAAGATTCACCAACAACTGACTACATAGATACTCAACTGAATGAAATACCCAATAAAGAATTCAAAATAATGATTACATAAGTTATCAATGAATTCCAAGTGAACACAGAAAAACAACTGAATGAAGTTTGTATAGGATACGAACAAGAAATTCAATAAGGAGATGGAGATATTGAAAAGGAACCAAACAAATCTTGAATAGAAAAGCCATAATAAATCAAAAAGTTCAAATAAAAGTCTCTAATAGAGTAGACCATGCAGAAGGAATCTTGGAGCTGGAAGACAAAGTGAGCTTGGCAGGGTGGTACATGCCTGTAATCCCAGCAGCTCAGGAGGCTGAGATATGAGGATCAGCAACAGCAAGGTACTAAGCAACTCAGTGAGACACTGTCTCTAAATAAAAAATAGGGCTGGGGATGTGGCTGAGTGTACCTGAGTTCAATCCCCAGTAGCAAAAAAAAAATCATGACCAAGTTGGTTTCATTCTAGGGATGCACAATGATTTAACATAACATATGCAAATCAATAAGTGTAAGTCACATAACTATGATTTTTATCCTCAATTCTGTTTATTTCAATCGTTGCAGAAAAAGCCTTCAACAAAATTCAGCACCCATTCATGATAAAAATACTAACATCTTAAAGGGTATATATGACAATGACCATACTACCAACAGCACTATACAGATTTAATGCAATTCTGATCAAAATTCCAATGACATTCCTCATAGAAATAGAAAAAGCAGTCATGAAATTCATCTGGAAAAATAAGAGACCCAAAAGAGCTAAAGCAATCCTTAGCAGGAAGAGTGAAGCAGATGGCATCACTATACAAGACCTTAAACTATACTACAGAGCAATAGTAACAAAAACACCATGGTATTGGCACCAAAACGGATTGGTAGACCAATGGTACTAAATAGAGGACACACAGAAATAGTTTTCTCATATTAGACAAAGGTGCCAGGGCTGAGTTGTGGCTCAATGGTAGACTGCTGCCCTAGCATGTGTGAAGCACTGGGTTCGAATCTCAGTACAACATCTAAATAAATGAATAAAATAAAGGTCCATCAACATCTAATAAAAATATTTTTTTTAAAAGGTACCAAAAACATTTTGGAGAAAAGATAGCCTCTTCAACAAATGGTACTGGGAGGACTGGAAATCCATGTGTAGCAAAATGAAATTAAACACCTATCTCTCACCATGCACAAAACTCAATCCAAAGTGGATCAAAGACTTAGGAATTAGACCAGAGACCCTGTGCCTAATAGAAGAAAAAGTAGGCCCTTACTTCCTTAATAAGACCCCTAAAGTGCAAGAAATAAAATCAAGAATCAAATGGGATAGTTTCAAACTAAAAAGGTTCTTCTCAACAAAAGAAACAATCAGTGAGGTGAATAGAGAGCCTACAGAATGGGAGCAAATTTTTACCACATGCACATCAGAACACTAATCTCTAGGATATATATAGAACACAAAAAGATTAACACTAAAAAAAATAAAATAACCCAATCAATAAATGGGTCAATGAACAGACTTCTCAGAAGATATATGATCAATCAACAAATATATGAAAAAATTTTCAACATCTCTAGTAATTAAAGAAATGCAAATCAAAACTACACTAAGATTTCATCTCACTCCAGTCAGAAGGGCAGTTATTAAGAATACAAGCAACAACAAGTGTTGGCGAGGATGTAGGGGGAAAGGTACATTCTTTCATTGCTGGTGGGACTGCAAATTGGTGCAACCAAGCTGGAAAGCAGTATGGAGATTCCTTAGAAAACTTAGAATGGAACCACCATTAGACTCAGCTATCCCACTCCTCGATTTCAACCCCAAAGGGCTTAAAAACAGCATACTACAGGGACACAGCCACATCAATGATTATAGCAGCACAATTCACAATAGCCAAAATGTAGAAACAACCTACCTAGATGCCCTTCAGTAGATGAATGGAGAAAGAAACTGTGGTACATATACACAATGGAATATTACTCAGCAATAAAAGAGAATAAAATCATGGCATTTGCAGGTAAATGGATGAAGTTGGAGGATATAATGCTAAGTGAAGTAAGCCAATCTCAAAAAACCAAAGGTCAAATGTTTTATCTGATAAATGGATAGTGATTCATAATGGGGGTGGAGGAGGAACTTTGAATAGGGACAAGGGATGAGGGTAGGAATGAGATGGACATCATTATCCTAAGTACATGTACGAAGATATAAATGGTGTGACTCTACTTTGCGTACAACCAGAGAA